AGGAAAGCTGGTAATAGGGAACCCAACGTCAAGAAAGGGAGAGTGTTGATATGTCGTGGGGTTGGTAACCAATGTCACAAAACAATATGTATACTAATTGTTTAATGAGAAGCTAGCTTGTTCTGTAAACCTTCATCTAAAGTACAAATAAAAAAAAAATGTTTTCTCTGTTTATCATGGTCTTGCTTATTGGTCCACTTGTTAGGATTTTTGTTTTGTGTTGAGGTGTAACCCGTATTGAAGGCTGTAGTCTTTGACTGTCATCATCTTCCTCCAGTCCTGATGCTGCTTTCTTCTTCATGTAAGCTACATAGTCTAGCTTCTTGGATTATTTGATCAGCATAATATCTTGTCACAGTTAATAATTCTTTATATTAAACTTTGTTGCTGTTGTAGTTGTAGTCCAGGTGATTCCAACTCATGGTGACCCCACGTGTGCACAGTAGAACTGCTCCATAGGGTTTTCAAGGCTGTGACCTTTTGGAAGCAGATCACCAGGCCTGTCTTCCGAGGCGCCTCTAGGTGGGTTCGAACCTCTAATCTTTCAGCTAGTAGTCTAGCACTTAACCATTTTCACCACCCAGGGTCTCCCTGTCGTAATTACTGTGTGACTTCTGTCTCTTGAATGGACCCAGACTAGATATTGATAAAAGGTTGAATTCATCAGAAAGCTATAACAATTCTGAACTTAAATCCATCTAATCACATTGCTTAAAAATACACTGTCGTAGGCTGGGTTCTGTAGAGAAGCAAAACCGGTAAAGCACATAAATATATATATAGAGAGATCTATATCACGGAAACGGCTCATGAGATTGTAGCGGCTGGAATGTCCCACATCTGTGGATCAGGATAGTGGCTTCTCTTGATTCATGTAGCCGCAGAGGCTGGCAAACCCAAGATCAGTAGGACGGAGACCAGTGCTCCCTCTCACAGGCTGTGAAGATAGACCAATCCCAAGATCTGCAGATAAGCTGATAGCTCAAGTCCCAAGAACCGGAGGTCAGATGAACAGGAGGCAGCCACAGGATCCAGAGTGAGCAAAATGCCAGAACACCTGCTTATAAATGGATGTGGGCCACATCCCCAAGGAAAATTCCCTTTCAATTGACTGGCTACTCACAGTAGATTCCATCGTGGAAGTGATCACATATAAACACTGAGAATCATAGCCCAGCCAATTTGACACACAATCTTAACCATCACATACACAAAACAAAAATAGACAGAAATACAAGGAGAAAGTGACAAATCTATCTGTGGCAGTTACTAACAACCTTCTTTCCCTAAATGATAGAGCAGGCAAAGAAAAAAAAAATCAGCATGTAGAATACTTGAGTAACACAATTAGCTTGCTAATCAGAACACATGAGAATCATAGTCTTTAAACATCAATTTAGAAATAGTTGCTAAAGGCTATAAAATAAGTCTCCACAAATTTTAAAGAACTGATATTATATGAACTGTAATGTCTGATGCACCAGAAATGTTGTAAAAATTATAACAAAAATATAAATTAAAAAATACTTCTTTTCCCAGAAAAAAACATACTTCCAAATAACACTCGGGTCAAAGAAGGAATCACAGTAGAAATAAGAACACTTACAACTGAATGATAATAAAAATACCCAGTGGAAAAATCTGTAGAATGCAGTTAAATTGGCATGTACAGGACAATTTACAGCCTTAAATACTTATATTAAAAAAGAAGAAAGTCTGAAGATTGATAAGCAAAGTCTTCAACTTAAGAAGCTAAGAGAAACTCACAGAAAGTAAAAGAAAGAAATAATGATGATGACAGAATTTAACGAAATAGAAAACAAGATTTTTATAGGAAAATGAAATAAAAAACAAGATTTTCTGTAGGAAAAGTTAAAAGAAACACACGCACATACAAAAGCTGGTTCTTTGAAAAGACTAATAAAGCTAATAAACCAAGATTATCCAAGAGAAAAGGATAAAAATGGACAATGTTACTAATAAAAACAGGATAAAGGTATACAAGCGTAAAGAAACGCACTGTGGTAGAGTCGATTCCAACTCAGAGTGACCATATAGGACAGAGTAGAACTGCCCCACAGGGCTGCCAGGGAGCAGCTGGTGGATTCAAACTGCTGCTGACCCTTTGGTTAGCAGCTGAGCTCTAAAATACTGCACCACCAGGGCGTCATAGATGTGTCAGAGATGAAAAATATCGTATAATATCATGAATAATTTTATATTAAAATCTTGAAAACAGGCAAATGGACAAATTCAAAAAATAAAAATAAAAAGTATAAATCACAAAACTGATTCAAGAAGAAAAACAGAAAAGAGAAATGACTTTAGAACCACTAAATCTACCCATGGAAAAGAAGAAACTGAAGTTGCAGATGGTTTTATAGGAAAGTTAAACCCTACATTTAAGGAATAGATCTTTCTAATTTTAAAGAAAGTCTTTCGAAGAATGGAAGAATAGAGAACACGCCTCCAGTCATTTTATAAGGACGAAATAAATGACGCAAAGCCAGACCAGCACATAGGACAGAGGAAAATTATAAACCAAATTCACTCACGATGTACCGGCAAAAAATCTAAATGAAACATTAGCAAAATGAATGCAGCAATAAATAAAACAGAGAATACATTATGAGTGGGTTTGGTTTATTCCAGAATGCAATTTTATTTCAGTATTACAATGTTGTATTATTCACTATACTAACAGCATCAGGTGAAAAAAATCATATAATTATGTAAATAGATGCATAAAAATCACTATCTAAAATCCATTACTTTTCCTGATAAACTAGGAATAGAAGGGTATGTACAAGGAAAGCTTTCACGAACATGACAGTCAATTGTGCAACATGAAAAATCTTCCCTTTCAAATAGGGAAGAGGACAAGGATGCTGGTTAATCACCACTTGGATTTAACTCTGGATTGCAGTCTCAGCCTTCAGAGTGCAACAAGGAAAAGAAATAAAAGATAGAAGAAATGGAAAAGAAAAGCAAAACTTTAAATAGTTATAGACCAACAGATTGTCTGCATGTAAAACTGAAAAGAATGACTAAGAGTTTATCAGGGTTACAATATATAAGAATAATGAATAAGGAAGACCGAAGAACTGATGCCTTATAATTATGATGTTGGCGAAGAGTGTTGACTATACTATGGACTGCCAAAAGAACGAACAAATCTGCCTTGGAAGAAGTACAGCCAGAAAGCTCCTTAGAAGCAAGGATGGCGAGACTATGTCTCACATACTTTGGACATGTTATCAGGAGGGATCAGTCCCTGGAGAAGAACCTCATGCTTGGTAAAATAGAGGGTCAGAGAAAAAGAGGAAGACCCTCAATAAGATAGACTGACACAGTGGCTGCAACAATGGACTCAAGCATAACAAGGATTGTGAGGATGGCACAGGACTGGGCAGTTTTTCATTCTGTTGTACACAGGGTTGCTATGAGTTGGAACTGACTCGAGGGCACCTAATAATAACAACAATATATAAGAACAGCATACAAAGATCAATTGTGTATCTACACACATGCCAATAATAGCTTGAAAATGCAATAAAAATATCATTTAAAAGAACAACAAGGTATTCAAACTTAAATTTAATTTATATCTAATATGTGAACAAGTTTAATGAGAAAATAATATAACATTTTAAAAAATTGTGCATTAGGTGAAAGCTTACAAAGCAAATTAGTTTCCTATTAGAGAGTTTGTACTTAAAGTGTTTCATGGCCTTGGTTTCATTCCCCACACTGTGTCAGGACTCTCCCCATTTCTACCCTGGGTTCCCCGTTTCCTTTTGTCCTAATTTTCTACCCTGCCTGCCTTCTCATCTTTCCTTTTGGGCAGGTATTACCCTTTTGATGTCTTATAATTTATTGTTCTAAGGAGTATGTTCCTCTTGGGTATTATTGTTTATCTTATGGGCTTGTCTATTGTGTGGCTGGGAGGTGGTCTCTGGGAATGGTTTCAGTTCCAGGTCAGAAGGGTGTCTTAAGTCCTTAGTCTTTGGGGTTCCTCTAGTCTCTGTCAGACCAATAAGTCTGGTCTTTTTTGTGAATTTGAGTTTTTGTTCTACATTTTTCTCCTGTTCTGTCGAGAACCCTCTGTTGTGATCCCAGTCAGAGCAGTTGGTAGTGGTAGCGGGGCACGATCTAGTTTTTCTGGTCTTGGGGTTGTGTAGCTGTGGTTCATGTGGTCCATTAGTCCTTTGGACTAATTGCTCCCTTGAGTCTTTGGTTTTCTTTGCTCTGGATGGGAAGAGACCAACAGTTGTATCTTAGGTGGCCACTTGCAAGCTTTTAAGACCCCAGATTCTACTTACCAAAGTAGCACGCAACACATTGTCTTTACGAACTATGTTGTGCCAGTTGACATAAATGTCCCAAGAATCTATGTTTTTTTGTCTTCTAGCCTAGGAACTTCATCTTGCAAGGTGTTTGGTTATGTCTAAGAGGTTTCGTTGACTGTACCCTTTGTGTGCCCTATGTGAACTGCACCTACAGTCATGTATATAGACATCCACCACCAAACCTGTGTCTTCCAGTGGATGTATTCCTTTACACCCTCCTACACTTTTTGTGTATCTATCTGTTCATGCATTCATTAATTATTGTTTGTTAATACTATTGTTGCAGGATTGCCTAACCTATAATAGTTACCATAGTTGCCTTTTATTCTTGCCTTCCTCTAAGTGTCCTCTCTTGCCTTGGTCATGTTGAGTTGACTTCCCCCATATTATGTACTGCCTTTCTCTTCACCGATATTAACACTTGTCTTCAATCTAATTGGTAATTTTTTCTCCCTCCCCCTCCCTCCTTGGTAAACATCAAAGACTGTTATTTTCTTTCTTTTTCTTGTGTGTAAACCTTTTGTTGTTACATTACAAAGTGGTTTCATGCAATATTTGTTCTTTTTGTGACTGACTTATTTCCCTCAGCATAATATCCTCCAAATTTATCCGTGTTATGAGATGTTTTGTGGATTCATCATTATTCTTTATTGTTGCGTAGTATTCTATCATGTGTATGTACCACAGTTTGTTTATCCATTCATCTGTTGATGGGCACTAAGGTTGTTTCCATCTTTTTTGCTATTGTGAACAATGCTGCAGCGAACAAGTCTATTCATGTCACGACTTTTATTTCTTTAAGGTATATACCTAGGAGTATGACTGCTCGTTCATATGGTATTTCTATTTTTAGCTTTTTGAGGAAGCGCTATACTGTTTTCCGTAGTGGTTTTACCATTTTACATTCCAACCAACAGTGTATATAACCTATATAACCTCACCAACATTTGTTATTTTCAGAGTTTTGTAAAATTATTGTCAGTAATGTTGGTGTGACGTGGAATCTCATTGTAGATTTGATTTGCATCTCTCTAATGGCTAATGATTGCGAGCATTTCTTCATATGTTTGTTAGCAGCCTAAATACCTTCTTTGGTGAAATATCTGTTCATATCCTTTGCCCATTTTTTAAAAAATGTGTTGTTTATCTATAAATTTTGTTTTTCTATAAATTTTGAAGATTAGTCCCTTGTTGGAAACATAGCCAAAAATTTTTCCCCGATCAGTAGGTTCTCCTTTGACTTGATAGTATGACATTATTAAAAAACATTTAAGAAACTGAAAAATAACTATAGTCACGTACTATTATTGAAAGATATTTAAGAAACTCAAAAATAACTGTAGCCACGTACTATGCTTATAGATAGGAAAATCCATTATTATAAAGATGAATTTGATATGGTTGCATTAAAAATCTCTAAAGTTTTTCTTTTTTAGAAACTTAACTGGCTAATTCTAAATTTTACGTGGAAGAGAAAAAGGCCCATAGTTGCAAAGACACGCCTGACATAAAAGAACAATAGGAGGTGACATGCCATACAGATACCAAGGCGTTTTAATAAAGCTGGGGTTATTAAAACAAGGTTGTACTAGTTCAGGAATAAGGAAATAGACAAATGAAAGAGAATAGAGAACTCAGAAAAAGAGCCACAGGAACATAGAAATCAATATCTGTCAGACGTTGCAAAGCAGATCACTGGGGAAAGAGGGAGTTGTCAGTAACTGTGGGCAATGCTTATCTATACGGAGAAAGGACGACGGATTCCTATCTCAGGTTAGGCATACGCACACAGAAAAAAAAAGAAAAAACAGGTAAAGGTGTTGCTTTCTTTCTTAAGCTCTAAGGAGGACAAACAGGTGTTGAATATTCTTTGTTGTAGGTATACTTATTTATTAGATATATTACTTGATGTGCAGGGCATATTGCATGAAAAAAGTTTCAAAAAAGATTACAGTGTTTTCTGATAGAAACCTCGACGGCACCACAGGATTTATGGCTGAGATCATTTTGATTCCACCTGAGGGTCTGGATCCGTGGACAGGGCATCTTGGGCACCAGGGCTACTGGTTCTCATAGGGACCTTCCCTAGGATCCCTCTGAGGCCTGTTCACCCAGAGGACAGCACTGAGCATGCTCAAGAACAAGGGCACCTTCAGAAAGACTAGGAGCAGGAAGTGGATGCTGCTGAGCAGGGACCTGTGGGGGACACGGTGACAGACAGTGAGCTCCTTCTTTAGGAGGAAGCCCTTGAGCCTCCTCTTCCCCTTGTCCATGAGCCTAGGTCCTGTGTCCACAATAATCCACACCAGGGCCAACCCTGGACAGGTCTGAGGACAGGACAGCCCCACTGGAAGGACTGCCGTCCCTGCCCCTTAACTTAGGACTGGGGAGATGAGGAAGGGCCCGGCTGTGGGGATGATGTGAGGGGAAACCCAGGTATCCAGGTGGGACCCACGCATTTGCCACTGTACTCCAACACCAGGAGTGTCCCTGCACTTAGTCGGACCTAAACAATTAGGTGTGGAATTGCACCACCCAGAGACCTTTTATACATAAGCAAATAGATATATATATTATTTTCCTCCTTTTTGTCATACAAAAGCAGGTATAGTATACGTACTACAAGTAGTCCTCGCCTTACGACGTGTTTGAGTTACAGTGAACCACACTGATTACCATCTTTTTTTTTTTTTGATTTGTACATCTTATTGTTAGTAATATGTATGTCTGTATTAAAATATATCTGTGAGTTTATAGGTAATGTTTCCAACCCTCAAAGACAAATAAAAATTGGATTTATGAAAATCCTCTCTTGAAGCCCAGTGCAGGTCTAGTGCGGTCTCAGCTACCTAAGCTGGAATGCACGGCCTGGGCTGTCCAACCTGGCCTGGAGCAGAGGGGGCTGAGAGGTTCCCACTCCAGGGATGTGAGTGCCACCATCAACTAGGCCACATCTGGACCACTAGAAGGGAGGACGCCCAGGCTGAGGAGGCCCACCCCCAGGTCATGGGGACCGGGGTGCCTTACCATGGGCTCTGGCTCTGGTTGGAGTTCTCCTGGCTGCTCGGGCTGTGGGTGGTACTCACCGTGGCCAGCGCCGTGGACGGCACAAGCAGGCCTTCGGTTGTGGCTGTGGAAGTCGTGGGACTTGTAGGTGTGCTTGACATTGGTGCTGGTGCTGAAAACACACGTCTGACCCAGGACCTCTCCTCTGACCCTCCCCGCCCCTCACCACCTTCGTGGCTTGATTTCACACATCATGCTCACTTTGGAAGGGGCAGGACAGAGGAGCCTGGGGCCAAAGTCTCCCCAGGGCCACATGGGCCAAGGGAGCATTTCCAAACAGGACTCAGGAAGCCCACAGTCCTGATTCCATCCTGCTGACGCAGGTGGGGCACCGCTGAGAACTCTAACTTCTCTCCCACCCCCGTCTTGTCCCCTTCGAGCACAGCCACACAGAGGCCAGAGACGTGTCCAGACCATATATCTGCCATGCCAAAGGTTAAAGTCCCCACTGAGCCCAGCAGCTGCCCTGTCTGGCCCTGCCTGCCCCTCTGCTTAGCTCTCAACCATCCCCTACAAGCTCTGAGTTTCTGGGGGGCCAGTCACAGGTGGTGGCTCTCCCTCTCTCTCCTTTGCAGGCTCAGCTCTCAGCCCCCCCTTCTCCTGCGTCAAGACAGAGCAGAGATGTCAGCTCCCCCAGAGATCCCTCCCTGACCCCGTGGCAAAGAGTCACCCTTTGAGTCCTGACCCCCTGGCTGCTGGAGTCTGCAATACTTTGGATGTCCGTCTGTCTGAGGACACATTGTACTGTAATGGTCCCTGTCCCTGACTCTCTGCCCCACTGGGCCACAGAGCAGTGTCTGAGACTGCTTTGCATGGCAGCGCCTGATAGAGAAATGGCCCTTGATAAAGTGGCTGCTGAATGGATTTCCTGAAGGATGAGCACTTTGATGCGGCAGGGGTACTCCCAGGTTGAGGAGAGGGTTGGGGGGCACTGTGAAGGGGACTCCATGAGGCAGACAGAGCCCGACAGGTGGCAGGGACCCACTGAGACTTCTCCATGGTCGCTGCAGCTCGCCAGGACCCACAGCCAGGCTGGTGGCCAGGCCCTTCACAGGGTTGGTTTGTACAAAGTTAGAGGAAACTGGGGTTTCCCTGGGCAGCCCAGGAGGTCAAGGCTAAACTCAGTGGCCTGAGGCAGGTGATAGAGTCTGGGAAAAGAGTGGGACCTGGGCTTGAGGACCAGACAGCAATCAGGACTTGGGGTTTGGCTGAGGCTGGGCCATCCCTGTGTCCCTTCCGCACTGGGAAGCTTGGGTGGCTGGTCCTTGTGTGATCCCTGGTCCCAGAGAGCAGATGCCAGAGGCCCCACACCCCCAGGCCCAGGGAGATGACGGGGAGACGTTCCGAGTGGGCCTGTCCCACACAGCTCCAATGGGGGCAGAAGGTGCAAGGACCCCACTGTCCTGGGGACTCAAACTCAGGTCCTCCTCACTCACCCCACCCCACCTGCCTCAGTACCTCCCAGGCCCACTGAGATGGCTACAAGTCAGGGCAAGGCAGATTGCTCTTGGGACCTCTCTCTCTCTCTCTCACACACACACACATACTCACACACACACTCACACACACACATACACACACACTCACACACACGCACACGTGTGCATGGTTCTCCTCAAGTCTCTGACCTGTGACCTGCCCCAGCCATTCTGACCTGAGCTTGTTCAGGCAGCCCTGGTGCTGGTGTGGGGGAGGGGCTCACCTGGGAACACAGATATCATCACCTGGAAGGTGGGATCTCTCGAATAAACTCCATCTTTCCACCATCTTTTATTGATGCCACACCAGTATTGGCCTCCGTCCTTCACTGTGAGGTTCTTCACAGTCACTGTGAAGCTGAGCTGGGCAGGATGGTCCCTGATGGACACTCGGCCCTTCGTCTTCTCTTTCTCTGACCCGCTGGTCTCCACAATCTTGTCACAGGGTCCAATAGGAGCCAGCTGTTCTCTGCACCAGTATTTGTCATTTTCCTTGAATTGTTCCTCATAGCAACACTGCACGCTCAGAGATTCCCCCACAACGCCTGTCACGGTGCTGGGGCCACTCAGCGTCACGCATCCTGGAAAACACAAGCCGAGTCCACGCTCCGCACCAGGACAGGCTTGGGTCAGCAGTGCCCCGGAGGTCAATCTTCCTGATGCTTCTTCCCCCCACTCCATATCAGCCCCTCCTCAACACATTTTGAGTGTCCACCTCTGGCACTCTTCCAACACCAAGATTTTGATCACAGTAGCCCCTTCCTCCAGCCCCCAGTCTCCTTTCCTGCTGCCCCTTCCCATCTTCCTCACTCATTCCATTTCCAAACTCACCAGAACTATAAGAAGTCCCTCCTCTAAGCACCCTGCTCTCACCAGAAAGGCCACCCCAGGTCTGACAACCACCCCTAGCATCTCACAGCCCACACACCAATCTGCTCCCAGCAAGGAGTATAAACCCGGGCACAGACAGGGCTGCCAAATCCATTTCACAAAAATGCTGGACACACTTGATAAAACTTGTGGATCAAAAAAGATTCATAAGCACAAAAAATTTAAATGAACTTTTCACAGTTTCCAAAGCTGTAGAGCCCTGGAAGGTTGTATCACTCCTAATAGAGATAAAGATGCAGGCTGGAGAGCGCCAATATCCTGTGCAAGAATGAGCAGTGAGAGAGCACGAAACAAAAACGATTCACACACACGGAAGGTTTACTGGTGACGATCTTCATCTCATCCTGCGTCTTACTTAGTTTGCCCAGCTCTTGTAGACTTAATTGTCAAGAACGCTCACTGTCATGGATTGAATTATGTCCCCCAAAAATGTGTGTATCAATTTGGCTAGGCCATGATTCCTGGTATTGTGTGATTTTCCTATATGTTGTAAATCCTGCCTCTATGATGTTAAT